GGTAACTGGACTAGTGCTGTTATTCACCCAGACCCTAGACCAAGACCTGCACGAGCCATATTTCTCCCCCTCATTGCAGGAATCTCCCTCACCGCATCCTTCATTGCGGCCGGACTGGCGGGGGGAGCCCTAGGTCACACCCTCATAGAAAGTAACAAGTTATACCAACAATTTGCCGTTGCTATGGAGGAGTCGGCTGAGTCCCTTGCCTCCCTTCAGCGGCAGCTCACGTCCCTAGCTCAGGTAACCTTGCAAAACCGGAGGGCCCTAGACCTACTCACTGCAGAAAAAGGTGGTACATGTATATTTCTAAAAGAAGACTGTTGTTTCTACATAAATGAATCAGGACTTGTAGAGGACCGGGTCCAACAGTTACGCAAGTTAAGCACTGAAGTAAAAACACGGCAGTTTGCTTCAGCTGCAGACCAATGGTGGAATTCCTCTATGTTTTCTCTGTTAGCCCCCTTCCTTGGACCCCTGCTAAGTCTACTATTTCTGCTTACCGTAGGACCTTGTGTTGTTAACAGAATTTTACAATTTGTTAGGGAGAGATTTGACACCGTACAACTCATGGTCCTCAGAGCCCAATACCAACCTGTAAACGCTGAAACAGAATCAGATCTATAAGACCCAAGATTGGCTCTAAAGATACCTGAGAAGAAGGGGGGAATGAAAGGAGCTGGGCACATTCCTCAGCCCCGGGCTCAAAACTCCCTGAGCCTAGCACAAACACATCCCATCCTCCCATCCCACCACCATATATCTCTCAAACTCCCTGAGCTCAGTACAAACACCACCTGGAAAGTCTCCGATAAGGAGACAGCCGTTCAAGGTTACTGAAAGCGCAGGAGCCAAAAGAATTTCTTTGTTCCCCTACAACTTTCGGGCTATAAAAAGCAAACGCTCGCATTGTTCGGGGCCCTCTTGTATACTGTGTAAAGGAGGGACCAAGTTCGAACTTGTAGTAAAGATCCTTGCCGCTTGGCTTTGACTCTGGACTCTGGTGGTCTTCTTTGGGGAACAAACAGTCTGGGCATAACACTGGTTTCTCTGATCGATATCGCCTCTGCAGGCACTTTGTAGTCAGATTTCTCCGTTCCTCTACTTCCTCTGGTTTCCATCCTACCAAATCCGATGGTGGTTTTCATTCATTGTGATGTCTTCCTCAGTACTCTCAGTCCTTTTGGGTTTATATATATTTATTTTTATTGCTCTTCTCTCACCTTAGTGCATTTTTCAGGATGGAGCAGATAAACATTCATGTTCAACTCACCATCTAATAGGAAAGTCATTCCATGGTCCGTGTAGCTCCAATGTATTTCTTTTGCTTTGAGCTTCTGCTCTGTGCTCTAGCTAATGTGTTGTTACTTGTCTACCACGCCTATGGTTTTCCTGAGGGCAGTGGTCACTTTGCATTTCCAGCCCCTGTTATAGATCTAGGGCATGAGATAATTAATCATTCAGTTGAATGCAACTTAATTTACATAGTTGGTGCTGCCCACTGGAAAGCTGGAGAATAAAGTAAATGACCACATAAGGCCTCATCATCTCCCTTTCTCTATTAAAGATAGTGTCGATGAAAGAAATTTTCCAAGATTGAAGCAGAAATAGCAAACTCCTACTCATAGAATGTCTTATTTACAGCAGGCACAGCTTTATCAGACTCTTTCAGAGAAGTGCTTGTTTTACTTAAAAGTAACTGCTTTTCGAAAGCTGGCAATTCTTGTTAGTTATAAAGTGAGTGACTCTAATAAGAAAGGTCTCCTGACTGAGCTAGGAAAAGCAATTGAACAAAATGTATAGTGGGGTTTTTTTCCACCTTGCAAACCAAATAGGTCCTACGTACACATAATTGAAAAAGAATTGACATGGATGGTGTAAGATGCTTTTTTTTTTTCTGTGCACACAAAGAAAAGTGGGCATGCAAGAGAGAGTCCTTGGAGGTCCAGTAAAGAGCTGTGCTGATGAGTGCGTTACCTGTTGCAGAGCACTGTTTCACTGCTTCTGGGGTCAGACTTCTGAAACAGTTCTGAAACTAACAGTTAGTTTCCCAGGGCTGCTGTAATAAAATCAAGATGTCAACAGGGTTGATCCTTTCGGAGGCTCTGAGAGAATCCATTCCATGCCTCCCTTCTAGTTTCTGATGGGGCTGGCAGTTCTGATCATTCCTTGGCTTGTAGCTGCATCACTGCAGATGGATTCCTGCCTCCATCTTCACATGGCCTTCTTCCTTCTGTGTGTGTCTGTGTGCCTTCAAATCTCCCTCTTCTTATGAGGGCGCCAGTCATTCGTTTTGGGGTTTACCTTAATTGGTTCCAGTATGATCTTGTCTTCACTTTATGATATCTGCAAAGACCCTATTTCCAAACAGGGTCATATTCTAAGGTTCCAGGTGAATATAAATCTTTTGGGGGACACTATTCAATCCAGCATATGGCCTAAAACCCTTTCTTCTTGCCCCCTACTTTGAGTTATAATTTTGGAGACTGCATTTGTAATCAAATGCTTTCAGACAATTCACGTAAGAGAAGACACAGGAAATTCCCGGAGAAGGTGCCTGGAAATTAGGTGAGGCTCCCGCTCTCTGGCAGGGGTTCCTAACCTTGGCTGCACACTAGAATCATTCTGGTTTTTAAAATCCTGCTGCCTCAGGCATGAGTAGTTTTTAAAGTATGCCAGGTGGTTCCAATGCGCAACCTACGATGCAAGCCACCACTCCAGGGACTCTTCCGGAAACCCTTGCTGCTGTGGCTGCCTTGTCTGAACTCCGCTGGCCTCTGCTGCCCTGGGCCTTGGACATGTGTGCTCTTGCTGACTGTGGAGAATTTAGCAGCAGCACATGTGGATTTTATTTCTGCTCCTTCACTTGCTTTGAAGGAGAACAGCTCCCTTGATATTGAAAACTCAAAAGGGAATAAAGAGAAAGAATATTTGTAGGAGAGTGTGCATGAAGGGGAGGTTTAACATTTAGTTTTATATTTCAGAAACAATTTTTAAGTTTATCAGAGTAACATGTACTCATCATAGAAATTTGAAAACCCCAAAAAGCACAGAGAAGAAATCACCAATAATTCTATCCTTCTGAGAAAATGATTTGGTGGATGTTCCAATAATTTTTTCCTATGCATCTATAAATATGTACTATGCGCTTTATAAATGGGGAATTATGTGGTTTGGGCACATACATTGCTCCTTTAGCAATACATCATTACATATATATCAATATGTGCACATCAATACATATTTCCCATTAAGTTGCCCTTGGATTTTGAGTGGCTACATTTTATCCATCATAGAGAATATTCTATAATTATTAAACCAATCACTGTAAGAGAATCTCAGACAAAACTTCTGTTGTTTGATTATTAGCCATAAAGCAAAGAGGCAAAGCACAGAGGCCCTGCCTGGCTCTCCATCCTATGATCAATTCCACACTCCAGCCCAGCCCCACAATGCTCAGCCTCCGCTCCCCAGCCCCATGCCCACTCTCACTCCGGTCTCTCTGAGCCCAAGATATGAAAACTGGAGGAATTAGATAAGGAGTTTCTGATCTAGGGGAAAATGCTCTCCAGGCCCGGATCCAGATGAATCATAGAGTTTGGGAGTATTGGCAAAGAGAGACAGGCACTCATTTTCTGAACATTTGCTTAAAGAGTGAATTGCTGATTCAGATTCTCTATCAGTTGAGTAGAAAAAAAAGGAACTGGCTAGAGATGGCACCACAAAGAGAAGAAGCACTTGCTCTTGCTCCCATCTCCACCTTATTGGGTATGATAGGGATGCGTGAGTGGCCTGTGGCCAAGTGGACTCCGTGGAAGGAAGCCAGGCTTGTGCCACCTTTGCTGACACCCTGCCTGAAGATGACTCCCTAGAGGGTGACAGACTGGCAGCAAAAGCCTGTGGGGTTCTCTAGCATTGGCTAGAGTTGGGGAGCAGGGACAATAGAAGCAAATGTTCCGTTTGAGGCACCCGTGTTGAGGGAGGCATCCCAAAGACATCCCAAAGGACTTTCCCAAGTGTTCCACAAGAGACCTAGTGTATTCATGTCTAACATTTGGAGGACATGAGACCCCAAGAGAGGACCATGCCAAGTAAAAAGACTTTTGTCCCTTTCCTATCTTTTCCACTCCTCCCTAAACCCTGCTCTGAAGGACCTGGAAGCAGCAGAGTGAGGGGGAGGAGGAAGCAGGAAAGAGCAGCCCAAATCCCCACCCCAGTGCAGTCCCCAAGCCTGGAAGAGGAAGGGCGTTGAGTGAGAAGTGGGTTTTGATAACCTGGTCATGTGAATCAGTGATCTCTGAAACGTGCATGCTACTTGACCCAGCAGATCCATCTCTAGGAATTTATCTAAGGGAATAATCAGAGCTGTGTAGAAATATTAATGTAGTAAGATAATTGCCATGCATGAAAAATATTTCCATGCATCCTGTAAAACCATAATTTATTGCATTAAAAAACCCCTTCTTTCAATAATTAACAATTAACAGAATTCTGAGGGTCTAATTTTTATATACATTTGCAATATAATGGCCCTTAAATAGAATAACTTAAAGTAAAGAAAATGAGTTTTAAACAGCTGGTCATTACACAATGTTGAGGACATGTGTTCTGGTTACTATTCCTGTGAAAAGCTACCCCATTCTCAGCAAACTAACACAGGAACAGAAAACCAAACACTGCATGTTCTCACTCATAAGTGGGAGTTAAACAATGAGAACGCAGAGACACACGGAGGGGAACATCACACACCGGGACCTGTCAGGGGGTGGGGGGCAAGGGGAGGGAGAGCATTAGGACAAACACCTAATGCATATGGGGCTTAAAACATAGATGACAGGTTGATAGGTGCAGCAAACCACCATGGCACATGTATACCTAGGTAACAAATCTGCATGTTCTGCACATGTAGCCCAGAACTTAAAATAAAAATAAAAATAAAAAAAGAAAAGCTACCCCAAGTACACTGGTATAAAACAACAGTCAGGAGATAATGCTCATACATTTTGTGGGCCAGGAATTTGGTTGGCATGTCTCTGTTTCAGGATTCTGGGGCCTCAGCTGGGAAGTTGAATGGTTGGGGTGTCTCAAACATCTGGGGACTGGAAACATCTGGAGGCTTCTGTTCACCTGGCTGGCACCTGGCAGGGATGACTTGATGGGCTGTCTCAGCTGAGATGCTTGACCAGAACACCCACATGTGGCTCTGCCTGGTAGCTGGAGGGTCTCACAGTATGGCCACGGGATTCCAAAAGGGATCCTCAGAGCAAGAATTCTAAGAACCAGATGGAAGCTGCATGACCTTTTATGACCTAGTCTTATGGAGGCTGATAAGTTAGCAACAATGAAGAAGAGGCCTTTGGTGAAGGAAAACAATTGTTCTAAGAGACAGCTAACCAAAAACAACTGTTTTCAAATACCTCACTCTGCAAATGGCCCCATCACCATTATCCTGTCTGCACATAACCCCTCCAGCATGACCCTATAAAACTTCCCTCCAGCCCCTGTTGCATGGCAGACAGCCCCTTCTCTGCTGTGCTGCCCTTTGCTTCCTTGCAATGTGCTTTCTCTCTAATAAACTTGCCTCTTTAACTCATTATTGTTTTGGTAAATTATTTTACCACCTGCAACACTGGCCCCAGCCAGTTGTCACCCATGAAGGTAAATGGTGTCACTTCCACTACACACTCTTGGTTAAAACAGTTATAAACTTGTTAATATCCAAGGGAAGGGACATGGACCCTATCTTTCAACAGAAGGAATGTTAAACTGCCATAGGATTCTTAATATTTAACAAAATTGGAGTAAAGTCTGCAGTTAGAGCCAATTCGGGCTTTACACTTTGCCTTAATTATTAGTCTAGTATATACGTGGTAGTGTTTTTCCACAACAAATATAGTGTCTCAACACCAACCAATTCTCTCATACCAACTGGGTGTTAAACAATTCAATTCAATTCTGACACTAAGTACCCGGAAGCAGTGCAGGCCCCACAGCTTAAGGGCTCAGTACCACAAGACTGCTCTCACTTCAGACGCCAATCACAAGTCCCCGGTCCCCAGGCTACCTACACTTCTGTCCAACTTGGAGACACATTTGGGGGCTCCCATGACTCCACTTCAGGGTTGGTAATTTGCTAGGACGATTCACAGAACTCAGGAAAGCACTTTAATTACAATATCCGGTTTATTATAAAGGATAAACTCTGGAACAGCCAAATGGAAGAGACTCATGGGGCACAGTATCAGGAGAGTGATGGGGTACACCCCTGCCCAGGGTTCCCTTAGCCCCATAGTGTCAATCAAAACCTCATTACATAGACATGATTGATGGAATCATTGACCACTGGTGATTGAACTCAACTCCGGCGCCTCTCCCCTCCATGGGGGCGGTGAAGTGTAGAGCTGAACATCTAAGTATGTGATTGGTTTTTCTGGTGATCAACCCCCACCCTGAAGCTATAACCCCCACTACCCCACCCCTTGAGTCCACGCACTAGCAGACAAAAGACATTCCTACCACTCAGGAAATTCGGAGGGTTTAAGAGCTCTGAGCCAGCAACCAGAGAGAAAGACTAAATATATATATTTTTTATTATATCGCACCATGATGCTCATTATCTGTCTGTGAAGCGCAGAGCTGGGTGCTGGAAATGTAAAGAGAACCAAGACACAGTACCTGTTTCTGAAGAGCTCAGAACCTAGGAGGGGAGACAGGAATGTAAACAAATTTCTGCAAAATACCTTGAAATAAGCACCTACATGGACGCAAAGGAAGAATGACTAAGTACCGAGAAAGCATGTGCTTTTAGAAATTTTTTCCACAAAAGAAGCATATCTTGTTCATGATCCCCTGACTGCTCAGAAGGCTGCTGCAGGAGTGTCAGCATCAGCAGACTGCTCACAAAGTCACTGTGTTCATCCAAGGGGACCACGTGACCATGGGAGCACATGCATTTCCAAGTCAGGCAGTGGAAAATCTGCTAGGGAGAAATGGAAATACTCAGGCACGTTCTTCATAATACACAGCAAAACTGCAGAAAGCCCCTGACACGTGAGGACAGGCTGGGCTGTGTATTTTACATGCGCAGCACTGTGTACACCTGAGCACTGCACTCTAAACCTTGTGAAAGAAAAATAAATCTTGGGGCCCCCAAATCACTAAGCTAAAGGGAAAAGTCAAGCTGGGAACTACTTAGGGCCAACCTGCCTCCCATTCTATTCAAAGTCACCCCTCTGCTCACTGAGATAAATGCACATCTGATTGCCTCCTTTCCAAAGGCTAATCAGAAACTCAAAAGAATGCAACCGTTTGTCTCTCACCTACCTGTGACCTGGAAGCCCCCTCCCCACTTCGAGTTGTCCCACTTTCGAGTTGAGTTGTCCCACCTTTCTGGACCAAACCAATGTTCATTTTACGTATGTTGATTGATGTCTCATGTCTCCCTAGAATGGATAAAACCAAACTGTGCTCTGACCACCTTGGGTACATGTCGTCAGGACCTCCTGAGGCTGTGTCACAGGCATGTGTCCTTAACCTTGGCAAAATAAACTTTCTAAATTAACTGAGACCTGTCTCAGATTTTCTCAGTTCACAACCTTCACCGGCCACTCCTAACATTTGCAGACTGGGGAAGGAATACAATGGAAGGCCACATACCATGCGTCTAACTCTTCAGAAGTTATAAATTAAGTGAATGAACTGCCAAGTAAAGTATGTTCTCTCTTTCTATTTTGACAAATATATCTCAGGACACCGTGGAAGGGCCAGGTTCAAATTTAAAATCTCAGTGCCTTGCCTGGATGATCTTCGAGGGCTGGCCTATGCATCATCTCACCCTTGCTTTCAGAGCCCACATATGTGGACACTCCAACATGCATGCCCACACACCTGTAAATGGCCACCACCAGCCGTCCCTTAGCCTCACGGGTGCAAGCACCAAGACAGGGGTCAGGGTTGGAGGATGCCTTGGCAAAGAGGCCCACTCAGGGCCCAGAAGTGAGCCGAGGGTTACTGGGGTAGGGAATACTGGGTCCCACATACCTGCTGCCTGGCCCAGAAGGGGAGCGCACAGGCTCTGAGCGCACACATCCTCTTGACCTTGTGAATTCCTGGCCCCTCTAAAGCTCAGAACTCCTGGGTTCAAGCCATCCTTCCACCTAAGCCTCCTGAGTAGCTGGAGTGCAGGAGTGCACCATTGCACCCAGGTGACTTTTTGTTTTTTTTTTTGAGACGGAGCTTCTCTTTTGTTGCCCAGGCTAGAGTGCAATGGTGTGATCTTGGCTCACTGCAACCTCCGCCTCCCAGTTCAAGCAATTCTCCTGCCTCAGCCTCCCGAGTAGCTGGGATTACAGGCATGTGCCACTTCGCCTGGCTAAGTTTGTATTTTTAGTAGAGATGGGGTTTCTCCATGTTGGTCAGGCTGGTCTCAAACTCCTGACCTTAGGTGATCTGCCCGCCTCGGCCTCCCAAAGTGCTGGGATTACAGGCGTGAACCACTGTGCCTGGCTGGCTTTTATTTATTTATTTATTTTAATAGCAACTTACTGAAAGTCTGTTAATACAGTAATTGTATGAATTAGGACTTCCCCCAACCCCCCACTGAATTTCCTGGGCTCAAACCAACATCATGAGCATCTTTGCTTCTCAGAACTGAATGATACTGGCTAAATAAGAAAAAAAAAAAAAACCCAAACCACAAAACTGTACTTAATGTATACTTAATGGCAGCAAATAAAACAATAAACAGGGAGGGAGGGAAAAACACTCCATGAGCAGAAATAAATCTGGCTCCCACAGAGGGAGCAGAGCCAGGATCAGTGGTTGGAACAGAGAGTTTTTTTAAGGTTACTGAGACATATATTGCAGCAACAGGACAGAATCAAACTACTTAATGGACAAATAATTTTTAGGATAAAAGATTTGAAGGAAGCACTGAAATCGAAGAAGAAACTCTAAGTCACAAATAAGAATTTGCTAATTCAGCCAAGCTCAGATAACAGAACCCCCTTCTTTCATGAAGCATGTTCCTGGAAATGCAAGGTGAATTGCTCAATCAGAACTTTTTAGGAGGTAAGATCTTTCCAGTGGCCAAAGAACTACCGTGGTGCCCAAGGTCACACCACGAGTAGCTGACAATGCTGGTAATTTAGGAGATGTTAAACCTACATCTCCTAAATTCCTGGTTACTCTCCTTCCACCTATCAGCACTCACTGGTTGTTTAAAAAAAAAAAAAAATCCATGAGCATGATTTGATTTACTACCAGATATAGTTAAAAATAAAAAGTGGAGAAATAATCTCTACTCATAAAAAATATAGTCAAGGGGCTTTCTGCATTTTGGTTGTGTATTATGAAGAAACTGCCTAGTATTTCCATTTCTCCCTAGCAAATTTTCCACTGCTGGACTTGGAAATGCACGTGCTCCCACAGTCATGTGATCCTCTTGGACGACGAACACAGTGACTTTGTGAGCAGTCTGCCAATGATGCCTCTAAGATGTCACTGCCTCCTCTCCCAAGAGTGCGATTGCTGCTGCTCCCTGCAGATGCCCTAGTACCCCCACAGCCTTAGAACAGGTGGAGCCCTGGCATGACCACTGCCTCTGCTCCCAATTACCCACCCATTAAGCTGTTGCGTGTCAACATTCTCTGTGCTATTTCAAAGGACTTCCTAGGGAAAGTTCTTTTCCCAAAACTTTTTGCCACATTCTGTTATACATGTCCCGAAGCAGCCCTACCTTGTCCTGGGGTTTGGCGAGAGACAGTAAAGTCTGGGCAGAGTGGTGAAGAACTCACGGTCAAGGGCCAGAAGGTCCAGTTTGAATCGTGGTTCCTCTACTTAGAAGCTGTGTGATGTAAGGCAAGTTGCTTCTCCTCTCTGGGCTTCAGTTCCTGTTGCATCAAATGGTGATGACAACATTATTTATTTCAAGGGGTTGTAACAATCCATTGAGTCATCACATTTCAAATGTTTGGAACAGCATTTGGTGCATGGTAAATGCTTGATATGTCCTTGTATTTATACTTTTAAAGATGGCGAATTCTCAAAGAGCCAGCAAGAGCTTGTGTTTATTTGTGTTTGTAGCTCTAGCTCATAGCACCTGCTTTGCACAGGACAGGTGCTCATTTGGTGAACAAATGAGTTAATGAATAAATGAGTAAAACAAACATGAGCCCAGAAGACTGGATAGAGGAAGGCCGTCAACCCGGAAAACAACCACAATGCCACCACCAGAAAGGCTCAGGGGCCTCAGGGGATTCTGGGAGAGTGAGAGAGGAGGCAATGGGAAGAACAGAGCTCCACTCAGTTCATCCCTACACCCATGGTAAACTCTCCCAGTAACACACCCAGCAGTAAAGCCAACATGGATAAGAGAAATTTGGCTATGCTGTGAATGGTTCCCATCCTCAGAGCAGCCCTGACCTCAAAGGTTGGGAAGATGTTGTTTTCCTGTGGAGAGGGAAAGTTAGGAAGGGTGGGCATGGAGGCCTTAGGAAGAGATAGCCTTGATCATCTGAGACTTTGAGTTCCTTGTACAGTCAGTTGTGTATACGTTTCACTTCATTTCTGTGCTTTTTGTGAT